TTTATTTCTCCTCTTCAAGTAAGTCTTCCTTTTTCTTGAACACAGGTATAGAAAAACGTTCTGGACTGTTTCTGGGCAATTTTGAAAGGGTTAGCATAGTTTCTGTGGTCTCTTGATCACTTTTCCACACACCACCTTCAGCGCAAGGTCATCGCCATCTGCTCTTTGCCTGTGTGTCATCTGGCATGCGTTCTCCGAGGGAGCAGCAAGAACAGTCTTTGTGCGAGGCAATGCTATTTCATCGGCTTGTGGCACATGAAAGGACCACAGTCCATAGCAGGTGAGAGGGATATCTGTAACACTAAAACATGGTCAGGAGGATTCTGGACAAAGGTGGAGTGGTATCAAAAGTACAGTTGCAAAGCTCTGCTGCAGAGCAGGAACTCACAGGCTGCTGTATGCGACCAGATAAACGCTTTTATTTTCCCCCTAGAAGTTTATGTTTAAAGTGGATCTTCTCCCCTTTCTAATCTATCATAGGACATTTATTTGCAATGCTTTTAATTTAAACCTTTCAAATTCAATGTAGTTTGTAAAACTCCATGCAGAGGCTATTTTGTGACAAAAGATGTGTGTGTGTGTGTGTGTGTGTGTGTGTGTGTGTGTGTGTGTTTATTTTGAAAACTTTTTTTTTTCTTTTCAGGTCAGACTTGCAATCTGACAGCAAGATCTTCCAAAAGGCAGAGTGGACGACAGTAAATCATTAGATGGGAGAAAAGTATGTCACCAGAGATTTCCTTTGAATTAACCTTGCAGTCAGTGACAGGTCCCTTATGGCCCTGGAGCCCCAGTGTCTTTATCTGTCAAAGAAGTATACTACAGACAGATCTTGTGAGTGCTACAGAATTTGAGATAATGGATGTGAGGTGGCTGGCACTTGCTGTTTATGAGTTAGAAAATAAAAATGAAGCAGATGAGAGGTTGAAACTGGAGGATGGCCAAGAGTTGGAGGCCAGCCTAGGTTACAAACTGAATTCAAGGCCATTTGGGGCTGCATAGCAAGACTATGTATCTCAGCAGAAGAGAAAGAGGGAGGAGAAGGAAGAGGAGGATGAGGGTGAGAGGGAAGGGGGGAAGAAGGGGAGGAAGGGGAGGATAGGGGAAGGGGGGAGAGGAAGAGGAGGAGAATGGGGGATAGGAAGAACATAACTTGGTGGCCTAGAGCAAGGCACCCACAGCACTATTTCACCAGATCTCACAAACATCCTCTTCACATCTTTCTAAACCATGGAGAAGTGGGGGGTGGGGAGGTGGGGGGCAAGGGGGGGGGGTCCTTGCACACAGAAAACAGCCCCTGCCAAATTTAAACAAATGTAGAAGAACTATCAATAGCTTTGGGGATAAAAATCCAGGCTTTCCTCAGTAAGGACACATGAAGATTGTCAAAAATACCAGCAAGAAGAAGGAAGCATTTCTCCCTTTCTATAAAAATCATCATGATTTATTCTTTTAATGAAAAGGGCTTGGGAAGGCACACCAGCTGTGGTTTATGAGGGGGAGTTGAGCCAGAATTCCTCGTGGCAGGGTCCTTGCCACAAGGGGTCAGATCTGGAGTATGGGTGGACCCTGGCATCATCCCCACATCGACATAAGCATGTGCAGGCATCACACTGTCTGTGGTGACTAGCTAGACTTTCGGGTCAGACTGTAACAGCAAGGCAGCCCAGCTTTCTCCACTAGTGTTGAGCAGACCTCGGGTCAAATATTTGGGGCTGGGGCAGAAGCAGCAGGTTTATGTTGAAGCGCTCGCTTGCTGGTTGCCCACTCAACACGTGTGTGCAGTTTAGCCGTCTCTGTAAATCACAGCCTCTCCCCGCAGTGATATAAATAGCGATGCGTAAATATTTCGGATTCATCAGCCTCCAAGTATTCCTCAGATGTCTTGGGTTCACCCAAACAGAACACATCGTGCGAGCACATTCTCCCTCGATTTAAAAAAAAAATTTTTTTTTCAGAACTGTCTCAGATTTATGTGAAATAGAATCCATATGTTTCTGCCTGGCTTACACTTAAATAATCAAAAGGTTGTGTGTTGTAAGAGCTGCTTGCTGTCCAAGCTGACTCTGAGCTTGCTACCCCTCCCCTCCTCCCAGAAACACAAGCAGTTTGGTCCCTTTAAAAGCCAAGTGAGAGCGGAGAAGAGGGGGAGGGGATAACCTAGGAAGGCCTGCCTTGCCAAGATGAAATAATTTCAAGTGCCAAGAAGTTCGATTTAGGCAGAAACGGCAATTCCTAAGAATTTGGTGGAAAACACAGGCGCCTCTAGCCATGTTCAAAAGCAGCTTCAAGAACACACACACACACACACACACACACACACACACACACACACACACACACACACACACACTCACACCAGGCAACTTGGTAACCACACCCTGAAGGAAGAGAGGGAAAGGGTGGGACCCTCGCACCCAGCTAACAGCTACTCCAGCCTGTCATTCCTGGTTCCCTGAAGAGTAGCCTGTTGAGTCCAGATACAGAATTTGTTATTTTAGCTTGGAAATGCAAGCTCTTGTGGTGTGTCCTGGTGCCCTAACCTCACATTTCCTGTCCTTCTGTCCTCTGGCCAGCCAGCCAGCCATGGAACTCAGTATCTGTGTGCATTTGGAAAGGTGTGTGCTTATTTATCACGCGCTTTCTTGAGACACAGCATTTCGCTCATAATAGGGCCAACATATGCACTTGGTGTAAGGTGAGAAATACGTTAACTGGAGACCTGTGAATCAGTCAAAAGCCAAACGTAAGGCTGTTTTCTTGCCTCAACATTGAGTTACTGACATCTTAGCTGCTCTCATGTCACTTTAGGCCTGAGTGTTTAAGTGATTGGAAGAAATGTATCCAAATTAGAAATATTATCTTTAAATATCTGTCTGTGGAGGATATAGCTACTCATTTTTCACAGTACTATCACAAATTAATATGAAGGACCTCATGGTCCAATGTGATCTTTATGTGTGAAGTTTGCAGTGACCCCCAAAGACGGAACAGTCCTGGGGATTATGAACTCTGCTGGTTAAGTTTTGTCAACTTGACACACCTGGGAAGAGGGAGCCTCAGCCGAAGCATTGCCTCCACCAGACTGACCTGTGGCCATGTGTGTAAGGCTTTTCCTAATTGGTGATTGATGGGTCCAGCCCCCTGGGCCCTGCCCACTGTGGGCGGTACCATCTTTAGGCTTATGGGCTTGGATTATATAAAGAGGCAGTGCAAGCCAGTAAGCGACATTCCTCCGCTGTCTGCTTCAGTTTTGGCCTCTAGGTTCCTGCTGTGGATTTATGCCCAGGTTTCCCTTGATAATGGACTCTAACCCCTTTCTCCCAAATCTGTCTTGGTATTGGTGAAATTATTAAGGCCACTCCACGTAGTTAAAAGGGAGGTTTATTTTGTAGGGTAACTAACAAGTGAAGGGATAGTTTATAGGGTCTGGGAAAGGTGTAGCGCAGTCGGGCGGTGTTCTCTGGAGAACTCTGCTCGGTCTACCTCCAGCGTCCAGGGTCCAGGAACCAAGAGAGCTCATGCATCCGTATCTTGAGTCTTTAGCGTCCTCTTTCAGCCCTGCCTTGTAGACGTGACCATTACCGAAGCCTCAATGGGGGTTGGAACTTCCAGGTCAAAGCTGGAATGGCTACCCACTACAGTCTTGGTCAGAGTTTTATTCAAGTAACTAAAAGCAAACTAAGACACATGTAGCCCAGCTATCTAGAAGGCAAGTTATCAGTATAACATATTTATTTCCTCAGGCCTAACCCTAAGAAACATTAGTAATAATATATCCCTTAATCTTACAATAATGTATAATAGGAATTAACACCTTGGTGTGTCTTAAACATACACATGCACACACCTGCTTGTACACACATATACAGTATATCTGTGCAGTTTATTGAGTTCCCACTATGTTACTGGATTGTCCCCAGCAATAGAGATGTGCTTTCCCATAATTATAAGCTGTTTTGACTCTCAAGCTTCATGCATGAAGAGCAGTCCAGTATAGAATGGTACCACAGTTAGCCTAATATCTCTAAGTACTTTTATACATGAAAGAAGCATTTTAGATCATTACTTCATATATATGTTTTAAATGTTGAATCTGGGCATTCAATACCAGCACTCCAGAGGCAGAAGCTGGCAGATCTCTGAGTTTGAGGCCAGCCTGGTCTACAGAGTCAGTTCCAGGACAGCCAAGGCTACAGGGAAATGTTACCTCAAAAAACCAGAATGTCAAGCTTAGTTTTTAAATGCACTTTAAAATATACTTTAGGGCACAGCAGAAAAATAAATTACCATAACAGCTGGTAGTTCCTTGCATTTCAGATCAAGGCAGAGAACCCCCTTTGAAAAACAGACAGAATATTGTGTTTGGTGGATGGTGGCTGTTGTATACAGAAAACCTTTCTAATGTCCCTAGATCAAAGGATCAGTAGTATGACAAGTAAATGCTAGGAACCTTTTCTCCCACAAAGAATAATGTAGGAGACCAGCCCCCACCATTATTTACCCCAGGAACTCTTGAGGAATGAGGGATAAGAGACTTAGAGTGGGGAGAGAAAACACAGGATAAACTTGGGTGGGCCTGGATCCTTATTCAAACAGGCCCAGAAATTTATTCCGAGGGTCTATTTATAACAATGCCAAGTTACTGCTAGTTACAGTCACCTGGTACCCAGGCCTGTTGTCCAATCAACCTCTTATGCAGTCCTGCTGGGTACAGCCACTAGGAAACCTAGTGGGCTCCAACAGAATAAGTTGTGTTTCCACATGAAGAACTGTGGCAAGCTCATCTGCCTCTGCTTCCTGGGTGTTCAGTACCTTGGTCTAGTTCCCAGGGAAAGCTCAGGTCCCACCCACCTTCCGGTCTACTTCCACTTCCTTCAGCCCTTGTTTTGGAGTTTACTGAGCAGTTGCTAGAGAGCCAGTCCTGTCCCTTCTGTTGACAGGTTGCCAGGATATAGCCAGGCAACAGAAGCTGGGGTTCCTTTTATGCGGCAGCCTTACCTTCTAACTCTAAGTCCCACAGGGGAGATATGAATCTTGGAGTTCCTAGCTCCAGCGCCATCCTCCCTGCATCCTCGGAGGGGGTTGGAATGCCACAGTAGAGGCCGAACATTGAGAAGAGGGCAGATTCTACAAGGTAAGTCTGTTAGAGTGTGGTACTCTGGTCTCACAGTTCCTCAGTCTGAAGCTTTTCTTTCATCCAGACATTACTTATTACCTCGATTTTCCCCACAGCATCTTTCCCAGTGTGCAGTAAATACTTCTCTGAGAGAGAAAAGAAATTAAAATAGAAATTAGTCCTAATAATAGTGATATTTCTGAAAATAATATTTTACTTCTTTGGAATAGTATTGACAATGAGGCATAAACTATTACTTAAATGCTGTAATGACTGAAAGATAATCTAGTTCCATTTAAAGACACAACCTAAATAATTTTCTTCAAAGTAAAGTATGCTTTTAACACTAATGCAATATTAAATTTATTGGCCAGCTTAGCCACAACAATAAAAACAGTGACAAAGGGTTCAATTACTCAGTTGAATTAGATTTTTTTTTAAAAAATCAACTGAGTAAACTATAATCAAACTTGAGTTCTAATTTTGAAATTCCTAAAATCAACTAATTTAACAGAATATAGTCACATAGAATCCTCTCAACCAAGGCAAGGGCATTTCCATCACCACAGAAACTGTCCTTATGTCCTTCCAGCCTGCCTTCTCTCCATTGTGCTGACTTCTGTCACCAGAGAATGATATACCCCCCATGAACTCTGTATGTCTATAGTCATGCAATGTGTGCTTCTGTGTGTGACTCCTCTGGATGTGGAGAGTGTCCCTGGGCTGTTCTGTGCTGCTCTGTGTGCTGCTGGTTAGTCCTTGATGGGTGAGCATAAACCCATGATTGTTCTACATTTGTTTAGCTAATCTATTGGTTGGTATTTGGTTCCTTTCCAGTTTGGACCTGCTGTAACCAAGCAGTTGTAAACGCTCCTGCAGCAATTCCATTCTTTAAGTCTTCCAACTTCATTGAGATTCATCTGACAAAATACCCATGCATTTAGGAAGTATCATGAGGTGTTTTCATGAAGTACATAGCAGGAAGTGATTGCCAGATTCAACTGAGTTGAAGTGTCCATCACCTCCTACAGGGGCTTTGTTCGCTTTGTTCTTTTTTGGTGGAATGAATGCTTGTGATTCTCTATCGTGGTACATTTCAGGGATATGACATACAGCATCATCATTGTCTTCCATCAGTATGGTTTGTATTAGGTCCCCAACAGTTAAACGCAACAATTTGGATCCTTTAACCGTTATCTTTCCTTTACCCCTGGGCTCCAGCTTCTGGTAACCACCACTCTGCTCAAATGACTGACACGTTTAAGAAAAGAAAATGTTAAATATCACTAATCATCAAGGAAATATAAGTCAGAGTCACCTCATGTGAATCTCATTTAGCAAAAATGATTTTTAAAAAAGAGGTGCTGGCAAAGATGTGGTAGAAAGGGAACTCTTAAGGGCACACTGTCTGTGGGAATGTAAATTCAACCCACTACTATGGAAAGGTGCCCGGATATTCCTATGAAAATAAAAATAAAACTGCCATAGGATCCAGCAATCTCATTTCTGGCATATGGTCAAAGGAAATGCAATCAGTATGCTGTACTTCACGTGTACTGCAGCGTCATTCAAGCACCAAGATAGGACACCGACAAGTCCATCAGCAGATGAATGGGCAAAGGAATTTCCATTTTCAAAGGAAAGAAATCCCCATTCGTGGTAGCAGGGTGAACATAGAGGACACTGTGCTAAGTGAAATAACTCAGGTACAGAAAGACAAATGTTGTAAGATCTCCCTTCCATGAGGACTCTACACATGTGCAACAAGCCCTCTGGTTGTTATGTTTTTATATATCTTTGGCTCAGACCTAGGAGTGACATTGCTAAGTTCAAAGTGAATATTTACCTCTGATCGAATATGAAATATGGTATCTTAGCGTAGGAATAATTTGAATCTGCCGTTGACTAACCAAGGGGAACACTTCCTCGTGGGTATCTTTAATTGCCTGTTCACACCTTTGACTACTTAAATGTTTTTCTTACCTTTGATGATCCATAAACCACACAGTAGACACACCCTTCTTGGGTGGCATTATTGATAAGTTGGACAGATGATGTCACCAAAGGTGTCAGCATTCATCTTTTTCCTCACTTCTATATGTACTCACCTTCACACCAAGCTCTGTCACTCCAGCACTGCTAGCATGTCACATATATGGAATCATTTAGCACATACTCTTTTGTATCGGATATTTTCAGCATCATGTGTTTTGAGAGGACTAATGTTGTATCTTGGTAGTTTGTTTTCATTGAGTCAACCCCCTATGTAAGAATATGCTGCGATTTTTTTATACTTGTACCTGCTGGTGTATAATTATGTTTCCATTTTTTCATTATTATGAGTAAAGCTACTGAAGACATCTATCTGCATGTGACTTTTTGTGGATATGTAACTTCATTTTTTTATACAGTGTGTACCCTATGCATATGGCTTAGTGCCAATGAGTCTTCAGAGTGGCTGTAACACTCCACATTCCTACCAGGAATGTTCCCCACATCCTTAGTAATACTTGAATTGACGTTGTTTTAGCTTTAGGCCTTGCAGTATGTATGTCTATGTCTCTGTGGTTTCTGTTTGCATTTTTCTTTTATAAAAATTTCTTGTGTGGTGATGGCAGCACACACCAGTCCTTGGGAAGCAGAGACAGGCAATCTCTGAGTTTGAGGCCAGATGGTCTACAGAGAGAGTTCCATGAAAGCCAGGGCTGTACAGAGAAACTCTGTGGAGTTTAATCCCAGCATCCAGGAGGCAGAAGCAGTTGGATTTATCCTGATTTACAAAGTGAGTTCCAGAGCAGCCAGGACTATTAAACAGAGGAACTCTGTCTCAAAAAAATTACACAAGAAAAATTTCTTATTTATTTTTATGTGTATGAGTGCTTTGCCTGCATGTATGTCTGTGTACCACATGTCCAAAGGAGCCAGAAGGATCCTGAGCCTGGAGTTACAGATAGTTGTAAGTCAAACATCCAGGAACATTGTGTAGTATTTTCTGTATTCTATTGTCTACTAAAAAGTAGTTGTTAGCAATCTAGGCAAAGATTTGTTCTCTTTAAAACTTAGATTGTATTATGTACACATATAGATATACATAACAGACTCTTTACAGATATAAATCTTAAGTATATTCGGTTCCACTCGGTCATTTGTCTTTTAATTATCCTTATTTTGAAGAGTAGTAGTTTCTAATGTAGAAGTATCATTTATTAGACGTTTACATTTCCATCCTTTTTGTTTTGTTTTGTCTATGAAGTTTTTGCAAATACCAACATCACAAAAATATTTCCCTGTGTTTCCTTCCAGGAACCATCTGGTTTTAGCTCTTGTGAGTTTCTCTGTGGGTTGTTTTTGAGTGGTAAAAGTAGAGAGTTGATACTTATTTTTATCCGTGAATGCACCCTATCTCCCACTGCCGTGGATTAGAGAGGTTTCCTCTCCTCCACTGAGTCATCATAGGTAACAAATGAACAAACCATAGTTGACTATATACTTCTCAACTCTATGAAATGCATCTATTGCTTACCCTCATTAGTGTTGTTAATTTTAACAAAGCAACTTGTATTGGCTTATCAGTACAGAAGCAAGGATTTGAAATATGTATAGGGATAGACCTTCTGTGTCCACTTGCCAGTGGTCTTACATAAAACTTAAATGAGATTGGGCCATTTTCCTTGAGTGTCATATACATATCGTCCTAGGCAGTAACCTAATATTAAATGGCTGGACATTAAGAAAAAGCCAAAAATATTCAATAAATTGATTCACAAAACTTAGTACCAAAAATTAAGTTTAAATTGTTTATTTTTTATTTAATTTTCACTAACTTATTGTCTAGGATATTACGGGGGGAAAATACAGTATTTCTTGGTTCATAACATCTACACAGAGACATTACCGATACTGGCACCGTCTTGCCTATTCAACAATGTATTTTTCACATGACAGAGAAAAAAATAAACTTACTAAAGTAGAATCAGATCAAAAGTTTTGACATCTTCCTGTGAACAAGAGAAAATTATCAACACACAAATGTTTTCAAAGCAAAAATATGACATATTCCTTTCTAACTTTGGAGCATCTGTCATTAATATCCTTTGAGCCTGAAAATGAAAACTACAATTTCTGTTAGTTGTGCTTTCCTGCTTACTTCAGAACTTGAGTCCCATATAATTGTCTCTAATAGAAATTTGAGAACAGTGACGAATGTACACAATTCCAGAACACCACTCCTGAAGGAGCAGTGACGATTCCTATGGGGGTATTAAAAACAAGGGGAGGTGTTCTCCAAATGGTAAGAGCAATATACCATGACACAGTAGTATAGGCAGGGTTTAAAGAGGTAACTTTAATGGGTTAAGCATGGTGATGAACTATAAATTTGATGTTCAGGGTACAATGAAGCCAAGCATTTATTTGAGAAAAGACCAAGAGAATTCTGGAGAGAATTGTACACAAGCAAAAATTGATAAGGATCTGGTGTATTTTGAGTATGATTTTAAAATTCACGCTGATTAGTAATTGGATGTTTCACTTTAAAAATATTTTTTGTTTGGTTTTCAAGCATGTGCCTGCATTTATGTTCATGCATCATGTGTATACAGTGCAGAGGCCGGAAGAGGGCATCGGATCCCCTGGAACTAGAATATAAACGGCTGTCGTCGCCATGTGGGTGGGGACTGGGAATTGAACCTGGATCCTCTATAAGAACAAGTGCTCTTAACTGCTGAGCCATCTCTCCATCCAAGACACTTTACTTTTAAATCAAGTCCTACTTGTATGTCCTCATCCAGGGACTGCATGGTTTTCTCATGTATGTAGGAGCAGTAAACAATTGAGCTCTATAGGCCACATACCCTGCCATCATAAGGCAAAGACAAATATGTAAAAGAATAAACATGACTATTCTACAATAAATATTTATCAAATGAGGCCAGGTTAGGCAGCTAGCCAAATCTGGCTTATGTTTGTGTATACTTGTCTAATGTTTGAGCAGTTCTGGTGAATTCTCTTCCCCAAAT